TTTTAGATTAATAAGACTAAAAAAATGTACAAAGGGGTTTTCGCACAATCGTATTAAATATATTCGATGATATGAAGTCGATGAATTTAATTTTTCCTTTGGAGTTAGACAAATAAAATATAAAGACTAAATGATCGACAAAGGGAAATTAAATAAATAACAATTAAATAACTAAATAATTAACAATCAAACATTAAATAAAATAAAGAAAGACAAAATTATACAAATATATATTTTTGGTATTTTTTAAAGAGGGCAAGAAAGAAATAATTATAATCCTAATCTAATAGTTTTTTTTTGTAATTTTTGTATGGATTTTTAAATGAAAATAAGGCAAAAGACTTAAAAATTAGAAATAAAAAATAAAGTGAGCAAAGAAAAGATAAATGCTCAAGTGAGCAAATAAAAAAATACATAAAGTAAAGAAAATAAAATGTTATGGATGATAAATGATATGAAAGTAAAGAGAAGAAAATATAAAGTGCGGAAATATAAATGATATTAAAGTAAAGTTAGTACAATATAAAGTTAATAATCTGATTTGAGATAAATGCAACTTCATATGGAGCATAGAGTGTATGTACCCATACATGTTAGAGAAATGACACTTTGAAGTTCATTCTCTTATACATGTAGTACAATTAACAAACATGGGAGATCAAGACATAGTCAAGGAAGATACATTATGACAAACTTATCATCAATCTCAAATACCTTGAATGATCAAATGACCATTTAGTGGTAGATTGGAAATGATGAAAGTTCATCAAATATCCGACAAACTTAGATAAACTAAAAAACTCAAATGCTTTCCAAATTGATCCAAATAAAAATAAAAATAAAATAGATAAAGAAGAATAAAATGAAGTCTATAATAAAAATAGTATAAATGTCATAACTTTTTCATTTTTTCATGAAATTAAACAAATGAATAATGAAAGTTTATCTACTCAATCTCAAGAACAATGATCCATGCTTAAAATAAGTAAATAAATAACAAAAATTACAGAAAAAAATGAAAATTAAACAACAATAAATCACTTTTGCTTTGGAGGTTCAAGAATACTTTTCAACTCTTGATTTTGAATCAATGGAGTTTCCTTACAAAATAGTGATAATTATGGTACTAAGTAAATAAATAAAGAGTAAAAATTAAATAGAATTAAATAAATAACAAGTATAATAGCATACATATTCAATAAAAGGAAGCAATGACTTGAAAGAAAATGAAGAGAAAAAAAGAAGAGAGTTTTGGCTTAGTTTAGTGAATGATTTGTGGTATTGTTTCTCCAAATGAAAGAAAGAAATGTCTTATTTATAGGGTGAATGAGGTGAGAGTGTTGATGTGGCAATCCATATGAATTTATGAGAATGGTTCTTGGTCATTGATAAGTCCAAGTTGGCAATCCATGTGAAGTGTGAGAATAATTCTTGGCCATTGATAAGTACAAGTTGACAATCCATGTGAAGTGTTTGTACTATATTATAGTGGTCTCAACTTTTCTTTATTGACAAAAAAAAAACAAAAGGACAAAATAATAATAATAATAATAATAATAATAATAAAATCTAAAAGTGTTAGTAATAATAATAAATACAAAAGTAGAAAATAAAATAGACATTAAATTAACTATTTATGATTTTTTCTTGAATTAAAATAAATGAAAATATAAGTGAAAATTAAAAGATAAAAAATTAAATACATAGAAGAAAATAAAAGAACTTATATAAATTTTTCTAGATTATTTTTTGAAAAAAATGACCAATATATAAATTTAAATTATAAAAGAACATATTTTTGATGATTTTTTAGTAAAGAGGTAAAAATAGTAAATAAAAAAATAACATGATGCTAAGTACATTTTATTGTGAATTTTTTAAATGGAAAAGAAATCTTGAATAAAACACAATAAAAATCAAATTCCACTAAATTCATAAACGACTTCTAACGTTTCTATTTTTCGTGGCTTTTCAAAGAATAACCAGCTCTTGACTTGTAAAGAGAATTTGTAGATGATGTCAAGGAGAATCATATTAAAAAAGAACCGCTCAAAAATGTCAAAATTTGAAGAAGTTATAATTTTTTTGAAATCTAACTCAAGAATTGGAGAAAAATAGGTCAAACCACTCGTGAACACTTGTTATGTAATGATGCAAATGGAGGATGGGATCTTAGGTCAAAAATTGGAGTATGACAATATGAATTCAAGAATAACCTTCGAACTGCTTCTTGCATCCTTGCTGAAGCTATTCTTGTGCTGCTTCGCCTGCACACATTCCTCACATACCTCATTTGGAATGTCAATTTCTGGCAATCCTGAAACCATATTTCTTCTCTTCAAATCTCTGATGTCTCTGAAGTTGAGATGACCTAGTCGATAATGCCATATCCATTCATCTTTGCTAGCTGCAGTTGAAAGGCACTTGTGCTCCATCACATTTAGTTCGATCTTGAAGGTTCTATTATGAGACATAAGAGCCTTCAAGATTAATCTTCCATTTGCATCGACGACTCTCATCATCTTATCTTCGATCTACACTTTATAATTCTTTTCGACCAACTATCCTATACTGAGCAAATTTCTCTTCATGCCTGGTATGTACAACACATTGGAAATTACTGACTTCTTGCCATCTTTCATCATAATCATAACATCAGCAATACCTTCAGCTGCTAGGGTATTGTCATTTGCGAATTTTATCATATTTTTCATTGAGGGCTTTATATTGACAAACCCGTCTTTCCTTCTATACATTTGTGATGAGCATCCTGAATCCAAGTACCATTGGTCCTTGAACCTATCTTCATCTCTTGTTGTGACCATCAACATCATCTCTTCTTCTTCATGTTTTGTAAACTTTGCATCACTTTCTTGATTCTTTCGCTTTTCTGGACAATCACTCGAATAATGACCATACTTCTGACAATTGTAACATTAAATGTGACTCTTGTCAGGTTTTCGACCACCACCACTTCTTCTATTTGCAACACCACCTCTTTGGTTGTCTTGGTATGGTCTTCTCTGATTTGACATGTTTCATTCGTTCTAGTTTCCTCTACCAGTCAATTTGTTGTAGCCGCCTCTACCTCTGTTGAACCACTTTCCTTTGCCTTTGGTTTCTTTTGCTGAATGTGCCTGCAAAGCCACACCACTCTTCGACTTACCTGCAACTCTTTCAGTCATTCTTTGTTCATGAGATTCAAGCGTCTCTCAAAACTCTTCCTTTGTCAATTTCGACAAGTCTTTCCCCTCTTCTATAGCCACTACCACGTGGTCGAACTTAGGAGCCAAAGATCTCAAGATCTTCTAAATAACAACTTTTGTTGTTAATGTTTCTCCACATACCTTGATTTGATTCACTAGTTTTGTAACCCTAATGAAGAAATCATATATGCTCTCACTATCTTCCATCTGAAGCAATTCATATGTTCTCTTGTGAGTTTGTAACCTCACTTCTTTCACCTTTTCTACACCATCAAAAGACTTCTCAAGAACCTCTCAAGCTTCTTTTGCAGATTCTGAATCACTCACTTTTTCAAAAAAATTTGAACTCAGACATTGATGAATTATAAAGAGTCTTTATAACTCAGCTTCTCAGATTCTGTGTGTTTCTTCTTTTCTTCTTCTAAAGCGTTTTCTCCAAGCGCTTCTAATCCATCATTTACAAGATCCCAAAGACCTTGACACCTGCATAAAACTTTCATCTGTTTGTACCAATTCTCATAGTTGTCTACTTTCAGAATTGGTATAATTGCTGGATAATTTGCATTCTCATAACTCGTCATCGTGAATTCTTCTTCTTCCTCAATTGTTCTTGATCGATACTTCCCCTGAATCGATTAACCGAGCTCTTGATACCAGATGTTAGAAATCCACCAAATATCTATGATGAATTTCTACCAATCTTGATGAACAAGATTGATATCACCACACAATGACAATGAATTATGAGAAAAGAAAAGAAAAGAAAGAAGACAATTATTTTCTGCAGAGTTTCTCTCTGCCCACAAACTTTGGAAGATTTTATTAATCACTTGCAACTGCAAATTCTGTGATTACAATGAATTGACTTAATTACAAAATCAGGGCTTACTCCTTCTATTTATATATTTAGGTTAGCTTGCTCCTAAGCCAAAACCCAAAACTATAAAAGTCCAAAATACATATTTTGGTACTAAATCAAATCTATCTATTTTAGATCTAAATCAAATTTATCTAAATCTAAAATCAAACAAATCTGTGTGTAGTTTGCTTCGATCCACAAGCTCTTTGACTGAGCAACCTCCCTTCGACACAATCGAATTACAATTTAACAGAAATAACATGTGTTGTTGTGTGTTATCACTTTATGCTATATTTTAGTATCTAAAATGTGATTTTAACTGAAGTAGCACGTATTGTTAGAAACTTGCAGTAAACATATAAGATTTATGGAAGTTAAAAATTATATGTGTTTGCATGTTAAACTTAAGTGCAATAGTATCAATGATATAAATAAAAATGATAGATTTTTGTTATTATTTTAATTTAACATTATTTTTTTAATTTAAACTATTTCATTTTATTAATTTATATTCATTACATAAATTAATAATACAATTTATAATTTTTATAAATTAAATTATTCTATTATTTTTTATCATAAATAATATTATAACATTTAATTATTTTTTATTTCTAAATAAAATCTGCTTGAATCAAGGAGAATATCATATCGGTATCCGTGCAAACGCATACTATCATACTAGTTAAAATATAAAAAGTGAACTGACGGTTTGATGGAGTATTTATCTTCAAGAAGGACGAGGTGGCAGCCTAGGATTAACCATCTCACAAGAATTCTGTCACTATCAACTTTTCAATTTTAAATTAAATTTAAAAAAAAAAGCAAAAACAGAGAGAGAAATAGAAAGAAAAAACGACAAGCAGAGAGAGAGAGAAAAACAGAGAGTCCGTTAATTTCAGTTTAAAAAAAAGCCAGAGAAGAAAAATTCCACAATGGTTGTTTCAGACGAAGAAGTATCCGAAGCAATACACTCACTCTTCCGAGAAACAAACCCTAGAACCAGAACTTTCACCACATTGAACCAAGTCGTTCAAGAGCTTCAATCCAAACTCGGTCACGATCTTACCCATAAGCTCGATTTCATTACCTCTCAGATCAATCTCCTTTTCGCTTCTCAACAACCTCCTCCGCGAATTCCGCACAGGCAGTTACAGCATCCGCAACAACCACCGCAACAACAGCAACAAACTCAACAAACTCAACAACTTTGTTTTTCTGATAAAGACCGTTTTACCCTTCAGCAAAACCCTAATCCCTATTCTGTCCCTGTTACTTCGGTGTTTCGTAACAATACTGTTGTTGCTTCTGCTGCTGATGATGCTACTGTTGCTCAGCCCAAGGATAGGTTAGCTTTTTAATTATTATATTTTTTTGAATATTCTGAAATGGTTGCATGAATGGAAAATGAAACAGGGGTTTGATTAATTAAGTGTTTATTTAATAATTAATGCTATTTTGTAGTAATTTTGGAAATGGGAGAATTTTGTTTTGTGTAATAGTTAGGGTTTAAAGGGGGGAAATGAAATTTCTGAAGATGGGTTTTGATATATGGTATGGAATATGAATCAGATCTGTTGAGTGATGCTGGGTTGTTTTAGTTCTAGGAGTGATTGGTTTTTCATATGGATGAAATTAGGTTAGAAATTTATTCTAAGATGGACAATATTTCCAGCTTTTAATTATTAGTTATATCGGTGTTATCAAATTGCGGTGCCGTGGCTGTTATGGCGGATATACATGGCGGTTTTCTGGCTCCCCACAATGGTAAATATGGATTTTCCGCCATATTTCGCTATAGCGGCATCACAAAGAAGCCGGTATGGTGGGATTTTGGCTCTCCATCATGGGCTGCCATCCACCATCGACAACATTGGCTTATATAATGTTTATCAACTTTGTTTTGTATCTTTGTATGAACATGATATGATGTGTCTCTTTGTCATGTTAATTACTTTTTTGTATGCGATGATGTTTGGTCATTTTAAGATATTCCTGTATCTTTGATTTCATGGTTAGAACACTTAGAATTGATTCTGACTTGTTTTGTTGCTCTCGAGTAGAATTGATTGTGCTTTTTTAGAATTGATTCTACTTGAAGATAAGATTTGTAGCTTTTGAGTCTAAATGTGATTTTTACACTGAAATTTACTGTTCAACTTACTTTTGCAAGAATTTATCCAAACATAAGTCACGTTACCTTCAATTCACTTTTAGCCAGAATCAATTAACTCAAAATCAAGTGTGTTGTGTCTCTGTCTTGCAGTGCTCAACCTAAGCCAAAGAGAAGAGGTGGCCCAGGAGGTCTCAACAAACTTTGTGGGATTTCGCCTGAACTTCAGGTCATTGTCGGGCAGCCATCAATGACAAGGATTGAGGTTTGTTTTAATATTTTCAAGTTTGTTGTTATTCATTTACCATATTTCAATGTGGTTTCCGCTTCCGGCAAGATTTATAATCTGTGTAATGAATGGTTTAGATTGTGAAGCAACTGTGGGCGTACATAAAGAAAAACAATCTCCAAGATCCTAGCAATAAAAGAAAGATAATTTGCAACGATGAACTGCGTGTGGTGTTTGAGACTGACTGTACTGATATGTTCAAGATGAATAAGTTGCTGGCTAAACACATAATCACCCTTGACCCAACCAGTAGGTATCTGGGCTACTATGGTAATATTTTCATACAAAATTGTGGTTTAATGCATTGCTTGATTTCTTCATGCTTTGTAACTTTCAGAAAAACCTGCCCCGAAGAAACAGAAGGTAGAAGTGGAGTTGGGAACAAGAAGTGCCGAACCTGCTCCTTCTGTAATTATATCTGACTCACTTGCTAACTTTTTTGGCGTTACTGGAAGGGAGATGCTACAGTCAGAGGTTCTGAAACGTATCTGGGAGTACATAAAGGTCAATCATCTAGAGGTAAGCAATAGAGTTTAGATTTATACTAAGTTCACGTGCAATGGCATTGCTGCATTAAAGTTGAGCATCACAGTTCATGATAAGATAATCATTGTTAGCTTGATTGTTTTGCTAGCAAGTGCATATTTTTTTCTTTCAGATATACTTTACTTTAACATCTTGGTCTTTTAATTTAAGTACATAAATTTTTATCCATATTATTTTTTTTGCATGTTATTTATGTCTTGTATTTTGTTATACCCCTACCTTTTATTGCAATTATTTTTTGTTTTACATTGCAGAGTTAAATCTAGGATCAAATCTTGAAATATGAATTCTTTGTTAGCCTAGTTTATTTATAGTGCTCTAGTATTAGGCACATAAGTAAGTTCCTGCATTTTTATGTGAACACAAGCTAATCGGTGTTCAAGCTTCTATGACAATGAACGCTTGAAGGAAAATATGATTATAGCAGTTTACCGGCAACACGAGCACGCATTTGATTTTCACTCAAGTAGTTTGGAAAGAAAAAAGTTTTTGCTCATATGCATAACAATTATGTATGTTAAACTTTTGTTGGAACATAACATGTCCCTTAAATATACTTGTAGGATCCTGTGAATCCTTTGGCAATAATGTGTGATGCAAAGCTTAAGGAGATCTTTGGCTGTGAAAGCATTTCAGCATTGGGGATACCTGAAGTTTTGGGCCGTCATCATATTTTTAGGAGATCATGAGCTGACAACATTCTATGGTTAGTACATTTTAGATATGCAATGTCTTCGGTAGCCACTGAAGTACTCTTTTCTAATTCTCTTTCAAGTTTCAGCGAAGTTACTCTCTTCGAATAATGTAGAGGTTATTTAACTTTTGTAATGTCGAACTGATATTGGTTTTTGGTTGCAGTGACAGATTGCGTGGTGTTAATTCCAGTATAGTACAAGCTGATCTTGACTACATGTTGATATGGTTCTGTAATTTTTAACTAATTAGACTGCGTCGCCTTTAGTTTGTGTTGATATCTGATAACTTACTAGTAGAAGGAAGATGTTATAGTGACTGGTTTTTGTCTAACTTGGCACTTAGGTTAGAGTGACCCGTGGGTATGTATTCTGAAATATATATGTAAAATGGTGACAATAGGAAAGAAAATGATGTATCCTTGAATCATGACTATATGCTATTAATATGTAGTTAAAGTTAATGAAAATGCAGTTTGCTATATGCCTTTATGTACATATTAGATTTTGGTTAAACTAAGATTTAGTTTGTGCTGTGGTGTTTTTCTCTAATACCAAATATGGTTTTATTCCAAAGAACCCATATTTTACCTAACCATTTATAGCATGTTTGGATTGACTTTTAGAAGACCCAGAATCAACTCTAGTGATGGAGAATTGATTCTGGGTGATTTTGAGGTGTTTGTTTTATTAAAAGTAGAATTGTTTCTGTTTTTAGAATTGATTTTATTTGAAGTTAGAATTTTGTAGCTTTTGTTTCTAGAATTAATTATGAATTATTTTTACATTGAAATTTATTGTTCAACTCATTTTTTCATAAATGCATCTAAACAAAAATCAATTTTACTACTGAACTCAATTTTGTAAAAATCAATTCTACCATATTATTCTAGTAGAATTAGTTCTGTTTACAGCCAACTCAAACATACTTTAAAGAGGTTTTGAATGATGTGCATTTGAGGGAACTCGTGTTCTGTTTATTATTTTAAAACATTTTTCACTCCTTGTTGGTTCTATTTTTGATGATTGACACTTAAAAAAAAGGTAGTTTCGAATCTTGATAGAGAGATGTTTTCATATGCATATTTGCCATGTAAACGAGAAATAATATATAGATTAAATTGTGTTTTATTCAAAGGAATTTCTCAATATATAAGATGCAATTAATCCACGTGTCTCACAAGTGTCTCTGCCATTACAATGAGGATTTTTAATTTTGCCACTACAATGACGATTTTTAATTTCACCTGGGTCGTATTTGCTATAATATTTCTTAGAAAGATATTCAATTTATCCTCTATATTTTTCAGGATTTAAAAAAGATTTTATTTTGTGAAAGGATCCTTAATCACATAAAAATTCATCGGAAAAAACTCAAGAAATATAAGAAGCTGCGGATAGACCAATAAAATTAAAAAAATGAAATAAAATATAACTTTAAAAATAAATTATTTAATTATTTAATTAAATTGATAAAAAATATAACTAAGGCTAATTATCCGCTGGCTAATATGGTTTTGGTCAGGAAATCATCAAATAAACAGTGCATGTGTGTTAATTTTATTGATCTGAAGACCACTTGTCCCAAGGACCTAAGACCACTGTCCAATATTTAGGGATGGTAAAATAGATCGGGTCTTCCAGCCAACCCGTTTGATCCATTATTTTTTACGGGTTGGACTGATGTTTTTGGTTCGGTACTTTAAGTTGGTCCGTCCTGTCTAATCCGTTTTAAAAAGCGGGCTTAGGCGGCGGGACAGGTTTTACCCATAGGTTTTTTTTTTACAATTTTTTACTTTTTATTTAGAATTAAGATAATTTTAACTATAAAAACAACAATATTCTCTTTGGATTATGATGATTGAATTACATTCTAAATATTTATACAGACAAATTGAATTATAATTGTATGATTCTTTATATAACTTTCTAATACATGTATTGGTTGGAAAAACTTTAAATACAAAAACAATTGTATGGCACGAAGAATTATTAAGTTGTCAATACATTAACTCACATGTTTTCTTTAGAAACAAATGTTAATTTTAAGAAAAGAAAGAATTCGATTAGAGTATACGTGTGACAAATTTAAGATATAACTATTAAAGAATCAGTCAATATAATAGTCTATATGACCTAAGCAATGAGAAAGTCAGGTATTAATATTTTCTACACTACTATTTTATGTACTGTGATGTTTTATGCACTGTAATGTTATCATTGTTTGTCTTATGAAAATTATTAATTAAGTTCTTTTAGTAATTAGTTTTTAAATAGGATTATGACGATATGCGA